TCAGGGCTTAATGTTTAAAGTTTTTTTTTTTTAGCGTGGGTAAAAACTTACTTTCAAGAGGTTGAATTTCATCACTTCAGAAAAAGTCTGAAAGTTGAAAGATCCAGATGTATCTTTCTCATCAGTACAAAGGTCTTAGGACCCATGGCAGAGGTCAAATTTTTGCCATGTAATTAAGATTAGCATCACATTTACTGTGTCCAGGGGCTGTACTCTACATGGCCATGTATCTGATGAGGTGGAACTCCATTCCTCAGCATGATATACAGAAGCTTCAAACGAGTTAATAACTAGAGTTGCTTTGTATCGAGGTGGAAATGACTAAGCATACCGCATTCCTGAAGTGTTACTTATTTTGGTATAAAATCTGCTTGTTTGGTACTGCCCATGTCTTTCAGGCATCAGCATGGCAGAGTTTTGTTCAGAAAAGCTTCAGGTTTGTTCTGGAGCTGAACAGAATGGGAGTAGCTGAGAACTCTGGAAAGGGTCCTTGCTGCTGTGCTGGCTGTCCCCTCATCTCTCCAGGACTGAGCTGGCAGCTTGCCTAGACTTCAAAAGACCAGAAACTGTCTTCTATTTGGCTACCAACACAGGAGGCTTGGTTACAAGGAGGTCTCTTGAGTGGTTTAGAACAGCACGGCTCTCATGCTTCAGAACTGCATGGGCTTGCCGAGTCAGTGATTTGTGTGTTCTCATGCCTGTTGTGCAGCAGGATAAGGTAAGGTGGTGTGTTAGTGCCTTTGTTTAGCTAATAAGGTGCCAGCATGAGTGTGGTAAAGGGGGGTTGTGGGGTATCAGCAGCACCTGTGGTGGGTGGGCTTGACCTCGGTATCAAAGAGTATTTTATTCTTGAACAGCACTGGCAGCATTCTCTCCTTGAGCATGTGGTTTCAGGAAACGGACTTGTCTCAAGACTTTGCATGGAAAATGCTTACCGTGCTTTCTGGCTTTCAGAATTGGAAAAAGAATCAGGGCTACCTATCACGTGGTGTGAATGTGCCTCATTCTTCTGCTTTGGATAAAGATATGGAAGCTGTCTTCATACAGCATGGATGGGAGAGACTGTCTTTTGGGAGAAATGTGTGATACTTTGTCTAGAAATTACTTAATTTCTCTTCGCCCAAAACTACTGCTTTCAATGAAATGAATTCAGTATTCTTGACTACACCGAACTGCTGTAAGTACTAATACAGTAGGGATGATAAATTTGGCTTCTGTGGAAACACTGGGAAGCATACTGGAGCCACTGAAGGAGTTTGGAAGGAGAGGTCAGGAGAGAAGCAGTCATGTTAAGTCTGATTAGTTTGTGAAAGGAATGGTGTGTGTGGTCCCTGAGATACAAGTGCTGGCTGCCTGACTTAGGTGGTCTCTACCAGTTCTGTGTCCCTAAGCTGTGTTTTGGCCTATCTCAGACTGCGTCTGAGGGTTACTTACCTTGGATCAGACCACCCGAGTCTGCTCTTTCTTCACCAAAGATCAGTCTCTACCCTTGCCCTGGCTCACGTGATGAGCTTAGATTAAATGCCTGGTTCTTGATAGCAGCCACTTGCCTTGCAAGCCTGGACAGGTGAAGAGCTGCATTCTTCTCCTCGGATGGTTATTTTGGAAGACACAGTTCAGGGCTGTGGCTGGCAGAACAGCACTGAGCAGGAGAGAACGTCGGGTGCTTTAAGCTTGTGCTTTACTCTGTGTTTAAGATGAGCCAGGAGCCATGTGTTTCTAGTTGTAGCTGGTAGTTCAAAGATCATTGACATGTCTTGGAAAGACCTTCCCTGTTGCACTCAAAACTGTACGGCTTCTTAGGTGAGTGAAGCTTATTGCTTCACCTTCTAAGTAAAATACTACTTCTCCAGCCAGTGCGTTGAGTTTCACTGGCTGGAGAAGTAATATTACTTGGTAGGTTTATGCTGAAGGAGAGGAAATAAACTCAATGTGGATCCTGTTTCTGCATATGGGTCTGTGTAGCTCTGGATGCTAGAGCCAGATAATTGCTTGAGCACTGGGTGAACTGCTTGAACTCTGGGCGTTCATCAGTGAGCAGAACCAGAGGCAGCACTGCAGACGTAGTCTCGCCAGTACCTGTATGCTGGCTGGGACTGTGCTTCTCCACCATGTTTCTCAGTTTCTGGTTGTCCCTCATCACGGAACCACAGATGTGGACAGTAGGAGAGGTCAGAAGCATTAGGCTGACTTGGGCCATGGCTTTATATCAGGAAGCAGAAATATGGCAGGCTGGCTGAGGAAACTACAGCAAATGCACTTTTTGTTGCACCCTTACCAATGTGAGTCGTAGGAGGAAGGATATGGGGCAGGCTGGCAGCCAGCAGACCTGACCTGCTTGAGCACAGGCAGCCCTGCACACTCTGAGGATGGACCCAACTAGAAAACTGAGCAGGGCTACTCAGTCTACTCTGTGCAATGATTAGCACTCATGGATGCTGTATGCAGATGTTTTGCCAGGCTGCTGATCTGAGCCCAGGGGTAGCTGACAGCTGGTGTATTCAGAGAAGAAAGCTGCCAGTGCTGTTGGGAAGCAAGGGAGTCTTTGGTGCCACGTGTGGGCTTCCTGTCAGCATGGAGCTGCATGTGCTCCATGAATGCATATGCTAGCCTTGAAGTGCCTAGTCCTGTGAATAAGCCCATTGCTCCGCACTGCAAGGTCCTTCGGGGGCCTGTCCCTGTGCAAGTTCTGCATCCAGTGGTCCTATGTTTGGAGACCTGGCAGGGAGTAAAGGTACCTGGTCTGAAGCTGTACTGGCTGAGAGGAGGCTGCTTCACCCCTCTCCTAGCCTGGCTTTCCCCATCAGAGCCTTTGCTTCTTTGCTAGCTTGTGCTTCAGGTCCTCAAGAGCTGCCCTGAGCACTGTTGCTGTAGAGTAGTTGCAATGGCATAGGGAAGGGGAAGGTTGCTTTCCTGTCTGCTAATCAGGGCTGTGCAGACAGGGATTGAGGAAGGATGGCTCTGTTCTGGCTCAGGATGTTTTGGAAACAATGCCTATTTATAGGAGAGGGCAGGGGCCCCTTGCTGCCTGGAGCAGCAGGGGAGCAGCCTGGCTGTGCCGGAAGAGGGTCTTGCAGTGGGGCACGGTAGCACTGCAGTACCCTGGGCAAGGGAGTCGGGGAAAGTGGGGTAGGTGTGGTTTACTGTTTCGTGTGTTCTCTGTCATTCTCGAACTTATTCTGCTCTCTCCCTGCCCCTCCGTGAGGGCATCAGCAGCCCTCTTCTGTTTGCTCATCCCCTGCCTGCACGTTGCTACTGGCAGGAGTGGGGAGGGGGTGTTGTGCCATGCTGGAGCTGGTACTGGAGCCGCAGTGCCACCTGCACAGTAGTAGCTTCACTTTGCTTCTTCGGAGACATGCTGGGTGGTGGTCAGGAGCGGTGTGGCTATGGAAGCGTTGAGGACAGGGCGGAATGCTGATGAGGGACAGAGGGTTGATGATGGAGCAAATATCCCCAGTTCAGTTGCTTACCCAGATTGTCTAAGTTTAGCCCATTCACTGCTGAGTGGGAGAGTTACTGGCAGCTATCTGGGACGATGTGATAAGCAATGCCAGACTGCAAGAACCCACGCTGTTCTCTCTGGAGACAGGCAGCAGTGAGCTTCTTGCCACAGTGCGCAATGCTGCTTTGGTAGAGAGTGTGAAAGTGCAGCAGAGAGCTGAGGCTTGGTGCCATGTGTGCCCAAGCCATCACTGAATTGCCTGGGCTTTCTTACGTCAATGAGCTTTCTCACTAACTGTATCAAGTAGGTCTGCCAAGGCCAGTGCTTTTCTTTTAATTGCACCGCAAATGCCTCTGCCAAGCAGATCAGCAATGCCAGGGATAGAGCCGGTAGTGCTGGAGCCCTGGAATTTGAGGTGCGTATCAACAGTGGGAAGGATGCAGGCCTCTGCTGTGGTAGGGGCTCTCCACGCCCAGCCTGGTGCATGGGGCATGAACCCTTGTCAGGCGGGTTTAAGCTCCTTTGCCTTCCAGCTTGGTTTGCTTCCCATCCTTGGTTCTGCAAATTCTTACAGGCTCTGGTGAGTCAGTGAAGACTGGGTGTCGTAATAGCAGCTTTGGAGGACACGTACCCAGTTTTTGGCAGTGAGAGCTGGCTGGATCTGTCAGGTGGAGCCTGAGTACACGCTTTGTTTGACTATGGCCTGTGTTCCCACCTGAAGCAAGTCTGGCTTGCTTTCTGCAGAGGTCCTCTGTTTTTGCTGCATGTGTGGAATGGAGACTGCTTGCTGCTCTTGTTCTGCCTTTTGCAGGGAGACTTCTTAGTGCCAGGGGAATGTTACTGAAGCCAGCGTGGCCAGGCTTGCTGCATGGCAACCTGGCCTGAGGTTTGCTGAGCGCTTGTCTCCTAATACAAATGGAGAATGTTAAATAGACCTGGAGGGTTGGAACTTCTGAAATGGGGCAACTGCCTGGAGAAAGGGAGGAACAGAGCATATTAGAGCCTATGGGCTGCTGTCTTCCATCCAAGATGAGTTTTCAACCTTGCTGGCATATCTGAGAATATTGGGGATGCCTTATGAGCTACAGGTAGAGCCGAAGGGCTCCGAGGCTGGGGACTCCACATATGAAATGTCTGTACTGAGCTTATACTGGACCTGTAGGTGCTGGGTCTGTACAGCCACCCAGGTTCTCCCTGGCAGTTTCACCTGCCTTTCTTGCTGCAGGACTATCTGGAGGACTGTTTTTTGTATCCTCTGGATTATACATTGGGGTAGTCTCAAACAGCATAGTTCCTGTTTGCGCAGGCTCTGCTTGGGTAGGAGAAGTCATAGTGTTTCTTTAGCATTCCTTCTCCTCTGCTGATCTAAACATGGGGCTATTTTCCTCCTGAGCGTGAGGACTCACCAGTTTCCTCTGCCTTTTGGCCTCTGTGTATGCCTTTTAATACTTCCCCTGGCTGCAAGCCACGGGCTGGGCACCACTGCCCTCCAGTCTCTCTGATGGCAAGTTTAGGTCAGGTGTTGACAAGCAGAATATCAGACAGGTTTTTACTTGTGTTGTGCAGCAGGAGAGCACTTCTGGGAGCAGGAGTGCAGTTGGGCTCTTCTGCAGTCATCACAACTGTCCTAGTCCTCCTGTGTGAAGCAGCAGCCATCCTGCTGCTGCTGACTCTCTGGAGAAGTAGATGTGGTTCCCTTTCTATAGAGCTGGTGTGGTATCTTCTATCTTGCTGTGTCTCTGCTGTGTTGAGAGCTCTGGTAGAGACATTGTGCTGCAGTGGTTTGGCTATGTGCTGCCTGAGGTGCTCTGAGCAGTACAGAGCATCAGGAGAAACTGAGCACTCCTGCCTGGCCTGCACCGGTACAAGCAAGCAGCAGAGGGGCTGGCTGAGAGCTCTGCTGCAGCCAGGCTGTGCTGCTGTGTTCCTGTGCCATTAAATAATTTCCTTGAGTTTGGACCCTTGGGATCCCTGGCTGTGTTTTGTTCCTGTTGTGGTGTTTTTTTTGTTTTTTAAGCTAGTGAGACCTCTACTTCCTTTTGTTAGCCCTCCCAGATGTGTGCTACAGAAACAGGCTTTGTGGGGAGCGTGCTCTGGAAGCCAGTCTTGAACATGTGATTTGGGGAGGAATGTTCTTCAGCAACTGCCAGAGAGCAGCTGGGAGTTCCCGGTGGTGTGTATGGCTGGAGTGCAGCTGATGGTTCTTTTCTTCTTTTTGTCCGTAGGTTGTGCTAGCAGGCAGTCCTTGCAGAGCTGACACCCAGGGGCTCTTGGACACCACTGGGTGCTTTGGAGTCTCATGCCAGCTTGATGTGTGAGGGACACAGGTGGACCTGGACAAGGCTGGAGATGGGGTGTTTGTAAGCACATTGGCACTTGTCATGCACCCAACAGGGTCAGTGGACAGTAGCTTCTCCCGTTCTGCTGTGCAGACCCTCTCCCGGAGCCACTGCCGCAACATCAAACAGAAGATCTCCCAGTGGGAGGGGAGGACACAAGGGTGCTCCAACAAGGAGAAACAGCAGCTGAAGGATTTCGGAGTAAGGTATGATCCCAGCTGTGATGCCCTACCCAAAGTGAAGCCAGAACATACAGAGAAGGGCAGAAAGACTAAGTCCAAAGATCCAAAGAGCCTGGGTTTGGACTTCAGGGAAGATGCACGGAGTTGCTTGCAGACTGATGACTGTGGTGACCTCAAGCCCTGTGCATGCAGCCTAGCTTCCCAAGCCAAGGAGAAAGGAGAGTGGCAAGCAGGCTTCCTGGACCCAGGGGCGACACTGCCCCCAGGGAACTTCTATACCTCACAAGCTCTGTGGAGGCGAGTAGATCCCCTTCTGCCTGGCAAAGCCCCACCAGTTCCATTGGACCTTCAGAGGGAGAAAGGGAGCTGTGGCTCCACAGAAAAAGAACTTAAAATCAAAGGAGCAGACTCTCTCTGCAGGGCAGAGAGGAGGTTGAAAAACATTTACTCTGAGGCTGAGGGGCAAGAGGAGGTGCCAGCTGCTGTCCCACCACCCAAGCCCCGTAGGACTTTCCGCTATCTTGCAGAAAAGGGTGCTAGTAGCTGTAGCGATGCCAGTGCTACCAGGGAAGCTCCCCTGCAAAAGCAGCATGGAGGAGACTTGGTGTCATCCTCCAACAATCCTGAGAAGAGAATAGCCTGCAGGAGGATCAGAGGGAGAACCCAGAGGTACATCGATTCATCTCTCGTATCTGAAACGTGTTTCCTTAAATCAGTTTCTAGATGGGTTTAAACAGCTTCCTTGCTACAATATCCTTGTGGAGCTGCTAGTACTGTTGATGCCTCTGTTGATGGGGAGAGGATATCTCTGGATGAAGGTATCCCCTTTCCAGCACTGTGTATGCACTGCTGTTGCTGCTGATAATCTTGCAAAGAAGGCTAAAAGCGCCAAACAGATGTGAGTCCCACACCTTAAAACAGAGTTGAGTGACAATATGCTGGCCCCAGGGAGAGTGCTGCCTGCTTCTTGCCCTGAGCTTGTCCTCAGCTGCAATTTGTGGATTACAGAATAGCTTTCTCTTGGGGCAGCATGGCTGCTAAATGTTCTGGCTTTCCTGTGAGTGAAAGATTCTCTTGTTGCTTAAAGTTGGAGGCTGTCAGCTGTGGGTACCCCTGTTGCAGTAGGTTTGGCTAGTCTTCCCTCTTTTCTATACGAAGGTCCCTGTTACAGAGTAAAAAACCTCTGAGCTAGGTTGATGCTAGTTCTGCTTACAGATGAGCTGCCTAGGGCAGCTGTGCTGGACAGTAGCGTGAACATTATAGGTGGAGATGTGGCTAGAACTCCTGAAACCTTCTTTCACCATGGCAAAGCATGCAGCAACAAACCAAATTTTATGATGATGGGCTAAATCCCTGCCAGCTCCTTTGTGACCTCTGTGACCTCTGTGCCATAATTTTGAAATGGAGGCCAAGTGTATGAAAATGCAAACTCGCAAATGCGATAACACCCTTAGCATGAGCAGTAGGAGAGGTCCAGTAGAAAGCAGTGCCCTAATTCTGAGTACTGCTGCAAGTGCTTAGTCTGCAAAATGTGTTTGGGGTTCTTGCCTCTGTGACTGGATGGGACTTGCCATACCTGCTTGGAGTGTGCTTGGCCATGGAGCCTCCAACTTAATTTTTAATTTAAAAGTCTCCCGGAGTAGTGAGTAGGACTCTCTTGATGTGCTAGTTTTGGCTGGGATAGAGTTAATTTTTTTCACAGCTTGTGTGGTGCTGTGTGTTGGATTTGTGATGAAAATAGTATTGATAACACACCAGTGTTTTAGTTATTGCTGAGCAGTGCTTACGCAGAATCAAGGCCTTTTCTGCTTCTCATACCACCCCACCAGTGAGCAGGCTGGGGGTGGGCAAGAATTTGGGAGGGGACACAGCCAGGACAGCTGACCCCAGCTGACCAAAGGGATATCCCAGACCATATGACATCATGCTCAGCAATAAAAACTGGGGGAAGAAGGAGGAAGGGGAGGACATTTAGAGTTATGGCATTTGTCTTCCCAAGTCACCGTTACGTGTGATGGAGCCCTGCTTTCCTGGAGATGGCTGAACACCTGCCTGCTGATTGGAAATAGTGAATGAATCCCTTATTTTGCTTTGCTTGTGTGCGCAGCTTTTGCTTTACCTGTTAAACTGTCTTTATCTCGACCCACACGTTTTCTCACTTTTACCCTTCTGATTCTCTCCCCCATCCCACTGGGTGGGAACGAGCGAGCGGCTGGGTGGGGCTGAGCTGCTGGCTGGGGTTAAACCTCAACACTTGGAAATCAGAGAGTCCAGAGTGGAGCATCTATGTGCTTGATGGCCCCAAGGAGGACCATACTCTGTGTGGACTGGAGATAGCAACTCACTGTTACATGCAGGTGCCTTTAGAAGAAGTTACACTGGTTTTCCTCTAGGAAATCTTTTGAGTTTGAGGACATCCAGGGCTTCCGCAACCGGATGGCAACCACCAACTCCCACAGACTTCAAGAGACAAATGGCACTAGAGGATCCAGGCTTGTCTACACACAGTCAGAAGACAACATCTACGAGGACATTATCTGTATGTGCCCGTGCTTCTGGGGGATGCACTCACTTTAATTAAGGGTAGCAAATTTGCTGGGGAGGGAGGAATGAAGATGAGAATGCATTGAGGCCCTTTCCAGCTGTGTGACTTTTAAGGTCTTCCCCATATGGGGTTCTTTGTTGATGTTAGTGACTATCTGCATGTTAACAGCTGATTTCAGATGTCATGGAAGGTCGCTAGAATTGGCCTGTGCTAAACTGATTTCTTTATTAGCTCTTCAAATGCTTTGCTCGAGTGCTGCAGAGAGATCAGTGTGAACACTGACAAAATTAGCTGCTTTGCAAGAGGGCTACTTTCTCTGCAGTTGTAGAAGTGTTTTGTTTTGCTGAGTCCGTGTACAGATTGCCAAGTTGATGGTAGTGGGTTAGAAGGATCTTTGAGTGGTGGGAACCTAATCCATCTTAAAACAGGTCTCTCTCAGAGCCTGTCAAAGCTTGGCAGACAACTGGACACTCTCCCTGCTTTCATCCCTTGCAAGAATGCAGGACTTTATCTCTTTTCATAAATCCCCCATCCAATGCTTTTTCCAGGTCCTGCAAAAGAGGACCCCTATGAAGATATTGGAGCGCTGCCCTTACCCCTGTGGAAGGTCCCATCTGTCTGGAAGCTACCACCCCCCCGGAGCACCAGTAGGGCTCCCAAGGTAGGGTGAGGGGATTAAATTGTCACATGTTTACAGAGTCATCCTCACAAGGGCCCTATTTTGTGCTCCCCCCGGCCCCACATTCCCCACTACTACGTCATTGGTTTTCCTTATTTTTTATTGTTTGGTATTAATGTAAATGATAATGAACAACCATGGCAGTGGCAGTTGATTAAGCTGCTAAGGACTAAAAGAATAGGAACAAGAGAGTGTTGATGAGATGCTTGAGTATGTGGGGTGGGGGTGGGATGGAGAGCTTGGTAGAGCAGGAGGCTGCAGGAAGTTTATCATTTGTAATCTGACTCCTTTGACTCTGAGCTTGGACCAAAGCTTAATCCCATGCTTAACCATCTCTTCTGATTCTGTTTTCTAGCCTCCCCCAAAACCTCCCTTCCTCAGTCGCAAGACTCTTGAGCTAAAGCCCTCCCAGACAAGTTTCCAAGGGAAAATGGTGAAGGACACAACCCTGCCTGTCACACTGACCGAGTGGAAGCTGTTCCGAGCAGTAGAGGCTGCTAGCAGAAGAAAGAACTTGCCCTGGGTGAGATTTAAGCATGAAACATTACTTCTTACATGGCATTTCAAACTCTTGCTGCTTTGTCTAGCACCTTCTAAGTGCTTTGTAAGTGGTCATGGAGCTCTGTGTCTGGCAGGTGAATGCTGGTTAGCACTGCTGTATGTGTGGACAAGTGACCCTGCTCAAACCATTTCCCCTCCAAGTAGCAGGGCAGATGTTCGGGGATCAAAAAACAGAGTGCCAGTTCTAGCCGGGGCGGCAGTGGTTTTGTTGGCCAAGAATCTGCAAACGGAGTACTAGGGGTTGACCTGGAGATCAGTGCTGTGCGTGAATACTAGCTCTTCCTCGTGCTTTGTCCTTTAAGCCTTGTTCCCAATGCTTCCATGAAGTGTAATGATGCTGGTTTTGTGCTCAATGCGGTGCAGGAATGCAAGGAAGCTCTCTGTGAGCTGAAGGGCCAGCTCTGTACAATTGTGTGTACGTGTCCCTTGCTCCTGGTGACTTCTCAGACTGACCTTTATGTTCTCAGTGCAGGCACTGAGTTGTTAAATGGCTGACAGTGTGGGACTGCTGTGGGGAGCTGGCTGGGCCCTTGGTTACTTGGCATGTTGGCTTGGAGTTCTTGACTTGCCATCAGGAACATACCCTTGCAGCTGTTTCATAGTCTAAAGGTGAAGAGCAGCTTTTAGGGATAAGCACATTTCACAAAGCATTCATACAGTTCTCCCCTCTGCTGCCTCTGGCTGCTCCCTCCTGCCTGTGTGCAAAGGCAGATATGCTTCTGAGGCCAGAGTAGTGAGAAGGCTTTTAATCCACCTTCACGATAGAGGACTCAGTTGTAATTCTCATTTGATGCGTTGGGAGTCTTTCGAGATACTAGTCTTTGTTACCAGCTCATGTCCCTCAGTGATAAAATGCAGCATGTGCTCTAGAAGGACAGTTGCAGCTACCACTGTAGTGGCACTTAGTGCATAGGACTCAAATTCCAGTTGTAGTGGCAACAGCTTACTTTTGCCATGGTAAAATCATCTAATTTCTGCAAATCTTTATTTCTTGTGAAAATTGGGTGTATTTGCTCAAATTGCACAAGACTGTGAGGTAGAGTTGGATAGTTGCAAAATACATTTCAAACATTAAGTACTTTAGAGTAACAAGCAACTTCTGTATGTGTTTTTAAACAAACTGTAGGCCTGGAAAATCAGGAAGGAGATGGCAAGATTATAAAAATGCTGTGATGGAGAGTGTCTTTCATTTGGAGGGGGAAAATAAAACATTCTCCAAAAGCAAACCTATTCCAGAAATCTGGTAACAATTTACATGCAGGAAGCACACTTTACTCTTTTTGCTCACAAGGAACTGAGCCAAGATTGCTCGAGAGATTGAGAAAAGGATTGGAGTCTAAAAAGAAAAAAGATACTTATTGCTTAAGAAACACATAGCTGCCTTAAACACACCCAATATCTTTCACTGGTGACTCAACTGCAGAAAAATCAGAACAGAAATGGAAATCCTCTAGGTAAGGCTGGATGGTAGAGGGGAAAGAAGGCAGGTTTTGCAGAAGTACTGCTTTCTGCTGTGGGCTGTTTTCTTCCTTGCAGCCTCATCGTGCTAGTGCTAGGAGGACTGGCTAACGCAGAAAATGGGGAGAAATAGATCTGAAAAGGGGAAGAGCCTAAGCCTAGTTTGCTGAGCTGGGGATAAAGGCTTGAGCTGAAAAACAGGTTCTCTTGCTAAATATCTTCCTTTTTATGCAGTATTTGTGGTGACAAATGGCTGGGCCCCACCCTCCTGCATTCAGTGGGAGCATTTAATGAATTCTTAACTGGAGACAAGAATGAACTTGACCTGCTCACTGCCTTTAGCATAAATCCTTCTTCACAATGAAGTGATAGCTGTCTTTGACATTCAGAATCAAGGAGCCACCTGCAGCATTGTATACCTGGCAGCTGAGGGGGGGGAGTCCAGAGAGGCCTGTGACAGGAGTAACAGAAAGCATTAGGACTTTGGTTTTAAGGCCGTTGTGACCAGTGGAAGGAAGGTTAACAGCATCGACTTGGAGTGTCTAAATGTTGACCCTTCTTTCATGTCTGTAGCTTAGTCTGCATTCAGCTATGGGTTTTTTTTCAAAATTTTTTCTTCCAGTGGACCAGGTCTGTGGTGTCCCTGCAGCATAGACCCATTATTCTGTCCCACTGTCTTTCTTCACCTATGCAAAATGAAAGTACATAATCCTTTCATTTTAGCAAACTACCCTGGGATAAAGACTGTGCTTCGAGCAGCCTTGTTCTGTCCCTGGCATGGTGCTTTGGAGAACTTACTCTAGCTGTCTGACATCCAACTACAGCAGCAAACTTAAAAACCAAACCAAACCAACCAACCAAACAAAAAACAAACCCCAAGCTACATTGAGAGAGCTCTGCTTTTTCTGGGCTTGGAAAGAATTGGGATGCTTGAGAGCATGCGGAGTTCAGAGTCCTTTGTGGTGGAGGGTTTATAAGATATTCTTGCAAGTGCCTTTGCAGTTGCCCCCTCTAATAGAAAATGGAGATCTGATGCCAGACAGTTTGCCGCTTCTGCTGTCTGTTTGGTAAGCAAAGTATGATAACTTCCAGAATGCTTGTACAGTTCGGTGTCAGCTTTGAGTTGTGCTAACAGTAATCTCTCTCTTGTAGCAGAAATTCTGTGCTCATTCATTATCTAGTGAGCTGTGCTAAAAGTACTCTAGCAAGCAGTCTCTAAGCCAGGGTCCCTGGCAGGACTTGGGTAGCCTTTCCCAAGTGTTGTGGTGCTAGATGATAACTGTTGGGCTGCAGTCCTGTTGGTACCTGGACCCTTTTCTGGACCCACACATTAACCTCTGCTTCTGCTTTGGATTTCAGCTGGTACTAAAAATACAGGAGATCTTTGATTCTAAGCGTGGAAAGAAGAGGGTGAAGTTGCTCGGTCCTGCTGGGAGAGAAGCGCTTCCAATGAAAGGTATAGAGGTCTCCAGCACCATTCTCTTTGCTATAAACCTCTTGAGCAGCACAGTTCCTGTACATCCTGGGGTACTGCTAGCAGGCCAGGCACCACCACCTCCTGCAGCTCACGCTGGGCTGACTTGACAGTGGTAAACCCCATGTCTTGCAGATGGAATTGTTGAGCTTTCAGCACCGCTAGGATTGGGAACACTTGCCTAACCCAAGTTTAACACTGTCACAAATGGAAGATTCCACTACCATCTGAGCCTGAAGAGCTGGGCTACTGGTTAAAAGTGCTTTTTCAAAAAAGCAAAACAAACCCAAAAATTCCCCACAAAACCACTTGGGGTGAGAACTACCTCTGACTACTCCACTCATCGATTTTGTGCTTCTAAAGTGATGTTCTTGTGTTGTTCTGATTTTGTAGCCATGGTATGGTCTTTATTTATAGTATATTCTGTTCAGCAACTCTGTTAACTTTTAGAGCAGCATCAAATAACCACCTGGTTTCTGTTCTTTGCCTGTGTTCAGCTGACCTACAGGTGGTTTACTGGAAGTAGTGACTTGATATCAACTCCGCTGTTTGAAATTTGCTGTTGTAGCACATTTGCCAGTACCGGCTGGGGTGTGGGATAGGTGGGCAGCCCTGAGTGGTGTTGGTCTGATGAGTCTAAAGGTTCTCTCTCTTCCCAACTTTGGGTGTTGCCCATCTTCCTTCTGCATGGCTAATAAGTGAAAACTATGTGTGTTTCAGGTGAAACCAGTGGGAATGAAAGTGATACGGAAAATCAGGATAGGTGGGCAGCCCTGAGTGGTGTTGGTCTGATGAGTCTAAAGTTCTCTCTCTTTCCCAACTTTGGGTGTTGCCCATCTTCCTTCTGCATGGCTAATAAGTGAAAACTATGTGTGTTTCAGGTGAAACCAGTGGGAATGAAAGTGATACGGAAAATCAGCCAAAAAGTGAGTGAATCACAGGGGCTGGTCCTGTCCCCATAGCACTACACATTTGGCTAAGGCTCTAATGGGATAAGCACACTGACTAGTTGTGGCTTCTGGCAAGACAGAGAAAGGGAACATCTAAGACGCAGCATGGCCAAGGCTGGGAGCTGTTGCTGTGACAAATCAACCTCTATTTCTGCCACTTCTCCTGAGCCCTTGAGGTTTAATGCCATTAATCTGCCAGTCGCTAGAAGTAGCTTCATTTTTGGGTTGGTAGAGTCACAGTTAACTAAAATATGTCTTGCAGGAGATTGTCCCTGGATCACCTTTGCTGCTAACACTTGAGGTTATTTTTCCCCTACTTCCTTCCCTTGGTTCTGTTTTATATGTATAATGTTGTGAAATGCCCTTTCCTCTGGGGAGGAATCACTTGGTTATTTGTCTGGTTCCACACTCCTGAGTTTGATCATAGGCCCAAACTACAGACTTGAAATACCTATTTGGTTTTAGCTGGTGTGGGAAGGACCGAAAGAGGCTTCAGTTTCTATGCTGGTAAGGTTTGAATGAGAAATGGTAATGGTTGGCCAGCAACCCTGATGAGTGACTCTGTCATGTCTCTAAGCAAGCATCTAGCAAAAAGGATCAACAGAATTGTTTTAGACTTTTCATTTATTTGGAGGGAAGCATATAGAAGGCCTTAACTTGGAGCGAATAGTGAAGTTCCAGTTTTTTATGTTAAGGAGAGTAATGGAGAGTGAAGAGTCTCTGCGGAAATACAGTGATTGAGTCACTGCCTGATTTAAGAGTTGTTTCCAAAGTGTCCAGTATGTGTCATGGTGCCTGGGCCACAGGAATTTCTTACATCAGAGTGCTGTGCCTGTGCTTGTGAGTCTGTACTGCCTGTCAAGACGTCCCAGCCTGGAGGTTTCTTGGCCAGGAAACTGGCTCTGCCTCTCTTGAATGCCCATGCTGCTTTACAGAGTAGCTGCCTGAGGCCTGGCAATTACTGAACTGGTGGAGCTGGGCTTCTTCTCACAGCTGGGATTCCCTCATTGTTACCACCGTGTGTTGCTCTCAGATGTGTGGAAAGAATGTCAGGACAGCAGGAGAATGCTAGCTATCAGTCAAGAGGGATTTGCAGAGCTGCTGCAAGGCCAGTGCCCCCCTATCTGGAACAGCTCTGTGCTTGAGGAGCTCATGCAGGAGTCCAAGTCCCGCAGAGCGCAGCAGTGATGTTAGGCAAATGCACCCATCTCTTTTCCCCCCCTTCTAAAGGTGGTGGCGAGTCCTCTTCTGTGACCTCTAGGTGTGTGGCAGTGATAGCCACAGGCTGGTTTTGGATTTGTTCCTTTCTTCAGGTCGACACAGGTGCCTGCTGCAGGTGCAGTCAGCCTCCAAGAGGAACCCGCACTACCAGACTTTGGAGAGGGATTTGATAGAGCTTCAGGAGCAGCAGCTATTTGAGCTGTTTGTGGTGGTGTCACTGCACAAGAAGGCATCTGAGATGACGTACACACCACAGATCATACAGCAGTTTCCCAGCAAGGTAGGAGCTGCATGGAAACCTGCGCACAAAACACACTCAGCAGCTGTTTATTTCCTCTCGCAGTGTGTATCCCTTCCTAAACTCTATACGAGTAAAGCTGGCCCACTGATTAGGCTACAGGCTTGGAATATGAAGCACCTTGCTCTGTTACAGACCTAATGTATAGCGTTGGGCAGTTGTTGAATATCTTTCTTGATAATGAGTTTACTGTCTTTTTTTGGAACTAGGAAGGCTCCTGCTCTAACTTTAAATGCCTGGAAATATCATAAAGCCGTACTGTATTATGATACACTGCTGAGGCAGCCTGCAGGAGAGGAAAGGGAGTGCAGTGCTCTGTTCCCAAAGCTGGCATGACCTCATCCTGGTAGTCTGTGATTTATAAATGACGAGTGAAGGAATTTGATTGATGGTGTACAGGAACTAGAATGCCAGGGCTTTTATGCTTATTTATACTGTTCTGGGAAAAAAAAAAAATTAAAATGGCAAAGCCATGTGTACTAGCCCCCAAAAAGCAGAGGAGAACTGTGGAAGTTAAAGTACTGTAGCTAGAACAAGCCATTTGAAATGAGCTTTTTTTCTGTCTGTTCAGCCCAAATGGATGACAAGATCAGTGTGTGACTCCGAATTATGACTCAGTGTATGCAGTAGTTACTGTGAAGCTAAGAGGATGGAGCCTTGATGCTTGCTTCTGTCGTTCCAGATTGAAATGAATTAAGTTCTCACTATCTAGGCTTGTACCTGCTGCCTTCCACTAAAAAACAGAACAAAACTAGTAATTCTAGCTGTGCTATCAGGAGTAAGCCAGAGATTATTAAGGAATCTGCATGTCATACAAATAGAGAAGGAGATGTCAGGTTCATTAAGGGAGGTTATGTGGGACTCCAGCAGGACCCATAGTGTCCAGCTGCGTAAGGGATTTGTGTGCAAATAACTCTGGTGTCTTAAATGTGTGAATGTTTTGGATTCACAAAATGAATAAGGGACTACAGCCAGAAAGAGTGCACAGTCTTCATTTAGTGGGTAAAACTGAACATAAATAAATAATATCTGCTTAAGAGTGCAGGGTGTTAGGAGGAAGAAAGGAATGTAACCAGATTTAGCTTTTCCCTGGTGCAGCCTCTCAATCTGTTCATCGCCTTTGGGAAGGGCAGTGCATTGTTCTTTTCCTGGTGCCCTAGCAGACAATCAGACCCAACTGTACCATGTGGCTCTTCACTGGCTTTTATAAATGCGCTAACAAAACAAATTATTTTTTCAGTGTTTATTTACCCTCTGCTCAAAGTAAAGTGTTTTGGTGAGTGACTTTATACGGGACAGTCTATCATGTTGGGATTTTGCAGGAAACATTGCCCAGTAATTATGGAAGTGTTCTCATTACAGATTTGTCTCCCTTCTAAAAATAGCCTTGCTTCCAAGTAATCTGCTTGTCACCCTCTTCTTTGGGCTGCATGCCCAAGGACATCAAAGCTTTTGTACAACTGTTACTCTGTTAAAATGCTGTACTGTTTTCCTAACCGATCCTTCATGCTGTCACAGCTTGGGACACTGGAATAGTATAGCATTTCCTACTTAAATGTGATCTCTCTTATTTGAAAACCTTCCTTTTGCCCCTTCTGAGCAGTTTTGAGCATGGAAAGTTGTCCTGTAGTCTTTGAGGGATTTGACTTGAGCCCACACATGGTAACTGGAACATGTGATTCAGATACACTGTTTTCGCAATTGAATGATGAATGATCTGCACATCACAAGCTGAACACATTCCTGTTCCTCTTAGTGTCTTCAAATCTCCTAGGAATAGAACCAAGGCAAGCTGACACAACCATCATTTTGGGGGGGTCAGTTCTAGCTTCATTCCCCAATAAACTTGGCCATGCCTGTAAATCCTTACTCAGTTCTTACCAAGACCAGCTGGGTAATTTTACGAAGGTCTAGTCAGCAGGAAAGATGCAAGAGGGAACTGGGAATCTGTTATAGTCAGAATATGTTCTCCTGTACTTGTGCATTAGCTATCTGATGGTTCAGCATTTGGAAGTGTCAGGAAGATACTGTCTCCCATTGTTTTAAATGCTGCAGCTGTGCACCACACTTCAGTGACTTCAAATGCATGTGTTACCCCTCCAGCCTGAACATCCCTTCAGACAGTCAAAGGATACAGAAGAGAGGCTAAAGGTCATTCCCAAATTCTGCTTTCCAGATCCCAAAGACTGGTTTCCTGCATCAGACCTTAAAAGGTAAAGACTTGGTTTTGAATACTCATGCCTGAAACAGGCAATGCTGAAATCTTAGGTATGTGCCAGTTTCCTGGACCAGAGGAATTGCAACCAGAGCAAGGAAAAATGGGAAAGGCTGAATCCCTAACCCCTGTGACAGGGGAAGATGAGATATGGAGGTGGACTCGGAAGTGCTGCTTCTGCCTGAGCACCGTCTTTCCTATAAGAAAGAAGTTTCTAACGTCTGTTCAAGGCCAGCTCCCAGGGCTGGCAAGTGCTTCTGTTGCTCCTTGGCAGAATGGAGAAGCAGCTGGGAAGGAAGAGAGCTGTAGTACCTCAGTGAGAGTCCATGGGCTGCAGGTTTTTACACTGAATAGAGCCCAAAGTAGTTTGCTAACCACAGCAGGGGGTCTTCAGCACGACCAGAAAGAGAATGGCTTGTAGTTTGTTTGCTTTGTTTTGTCAGTCTCTTCTCCGAACTGCCTGGTGAATTTAACCCTGACTGTTCTTTGGTTCCCCAGTGAAACATTTTCTTTTGTGTTGACGGGTGAGGATGGCAGACGCTGGTTTGGGTACTGCAAGAAGCTCCTGGTAAGCATCTGTATATTGGGTGGAGTGTAAAGAATGCATTGATAAATGCACAGTCAGGTGCAGGACGTGAATCAGCAATAATTTCCCATGTGGGTTACGTAGCGCCTGTGCTGCTGCTGAGGTTACCAGCCCTTTGAATGCATAAGGGAAGGAGCACGACGATGCCCAGCAATACAGTGAAATGAGCTTTGGGCGTGAAAGACAGCTCCTGGAACTGGTCATTCCTCAGGAATCTTTTAACTCAGAAGTGTAGAGGGAACTACAGCAGAAGGAATTCTGCGAATCAGCTAGTGTAGGTGCTAGGTTCTTTATTGCATCCCTGTTCTCAGCATAACTGTTCCTGTTGCCTTTCAGCCAGAAGGGAAAGGGAAGCGCCTTCCTGAGGTATACTGCATCGTTAGCCGCCTGGGCTGCTTCAACCTCTTCTCCAAGGTGAATTGGGGAGAGCCTGTTACTTCTTGTCAGACTCAAGTCTCTGACAACCTGCAAGCTCCAGAAAGTAACTGGATGCTTCTGTCCAGTCTAGAATTGCTTAGCGATTATAACTCATCCCAGGAGAATGGTGCTTCCTTGCCGCCTTTGCTTTGACAGGGCAAATAAAATGACAGTAGTGCTGGGACTTGTCAGCCGATGCACAGATGACTGTTCTGTCAGCAAATTATTGTCAGGAAGTGGCTTCTAATACCTGATATTGCTGATGGTGCCCCTTCATCCTCTTCTTCCATGACTTAGAAATGGAAAATCAGTTTAAGGGCGGGGGGCCAGAGGGAGGAGATCTTGGCTTGTTTCTCCTAGCACCATGAGGAGAGTAGATAAAGAGGTAAAGACTGGGGAAAGCTACTGCAGGTGAAGGGCAGCTGTTGCAGCAGAATACAGGGGCAAGCTTATGATGAAAGCTGATTTCTAATTGTTGGAGCACAGAGTTTCTAGAACAGTGTTTCAGAAAGATTTCTTGGGGAGGAGAATGGGGTGTTGCTCTTCTTACTCCTCTAACTAGTTGTGAGAATTTGATTACCACATACAAGACATTTCCTTGCAGTAGCAGGAGACTGGATTTGAGAATGGAGAGTTGTACTCACAGGTATCTATTCCCATTTGATTGTTCAGACATTTCAAAGGAGCTTTCACAGGGATCTCAAGCGAGGGGGGAGAGGGCTGTGAGTCTGTTTTGGAGCCTTCACGTGTAGCTATGGCATGGGATACTCTAATAGAGACTCATATCTCCTCTGTCTCACCAGCAGGCATTGAACCAATGTCCGGTGTATTTTCCTGCAGATTTTAGATGAAGTGGAGAAGAGGCGAGAGATGTCCCCAGCCCTAGTACACCCATTTATGCGTAGTGTAATGGAGGCGCCTTTCCCTGCTCCTGGACGCACGATTACTGTGAGGAGTTTCCTGCCGGGAGGAGGAAATGAGGTAACGGAAATCAGGACTGGCTTTCCTGTGTCGATGGTGTCTCTGGAGCATAGTGGCACTTTGCAAACTGCACTGTAGAGTGATGCCGCCTGTAAATAATTAGTCTGGAGATAATGTCCTAAAGTCTGAAGGCAGGCTGTCGCAGAAACCGGCTTCCCGTTGAATCATCTACCGTAGAAGTGATTCCCTGCTTTTTAAGGAAGAGCTGCTTGGGAGTCCTCTGCGATGCCCTGCGCCGACTGCCCAGGCCGTGGGGTTCCACTTGTGAGGAGCCACCAGTTCTGCGCTCCAGCCAGGCTGCCCCTCGTCCGGCCTGACTCTGCGCTTTGGCTTTCTCCTCCAGCGCTCTGCATCTCTGCTTGCCTCTCAGGTGATGGAACTCTGCCGTCCATTGGATTCTCGACTCGAACACGTTGACTTCGAATGCCTGTTTAAGTGTCTAAGTGTCTCTCACACAATTCGGGTCTTTGCCTCTCTCCTGCTGGAAAGGAGGGTGATCTTTGTTGCTGACAACCTAAGGTAAAAAATGAGTCTGAGTGACTAGTTCTTTCTGAGGGATACTATCTTTTCTTCTGCGTTTGGGCCTGTTTCATGTGCTAGCTCGTCTAACTTTTTTGTAAATAGTTAAATTTAAAAGCTTTTTGCAGACTTTCCACGCAACATGCGCATGCTTAGAATTTGGAGTATGCTATTTACGCAAGAGGAGATAAGGAAATGTTTCCTTTACCTCTTTAGTCTGGGTTGATGCTATTCGTAGCTCCCCATAACTGACTTTAAAAGTGGATGAATGGGGCTTCTGCTGATGCATAAACAATGTCCGTGGATTACATTTTCCCTGAGCATTTCTAACCTGTGTCTGTAGCTGAGTACTGAACAAGACATTGACAATCCCCTCTGTGCTTCTCTTACCTTTGTAGCACTCTGTCTAAATGTGGCCATGCCGCAGTTGCAACGCTTTATCCCTTCACTTGGCAACACACCTACATACCAGTCCTACCAACGTCTATGATTGATATTGCGTGCTCTCCGACCCCATTCTTAATTGGCATTCTCTCCTGCTCGTTACCACAGCTCCAGGACCTGCCCATAGAAGAGGTGAGAATTGGGTGAAGCGCAGTGGAGGGACGATGTCAGTGGTATGAGGCTGAACTCTCTGGAACAATCTCTGTGGATTCTGTCTTAATATAAACTCCTAAACTTTTCTGAGACAGTTGATGAACTTGCCAGATACACATCAGGGTATTCCATTGTTATCAAAGATAAATAATATCACTGTTCTTATAGACAGGCTGCAGTTATGCAAAACGTGTGTTTCGTGTGTGACATCCCCTGCCACTGGGGACATTTAAAAAAAGAAAAAAAAGTGTTTTTCTCTGTACAGCAACATACCTGGTTGTAAGAGTCAGTGTGTTTTGTACATCTTTCCCCAGGTTCTGATTGTTGATCTTTGTGCTGACAAGTTCTTGCAAGAGGTGAGTGAAATAACAGTACCAGTCACTCATGGTTATATGCCAGGAAAAGGCATCAGTGAAAGAAAATGAAAACAATAAATCAGCAAAAGCTAGTATTCATATGTAGACTCCAGTGGCTGAAGAAATATCTTGCATTCCTTTTTGATCAATAGAGAAGGGAACAGGCTTACAAATCTTTGTTGCAAGATTGAGGTTGCATGAGGTACAGAGCTCTGCGAAGCCAAAGATGCTGCTTATCTGAGCTGAATTTAAAAACAGATACTTAGTTGGTTCATTATGTGAAGTGGACCACTAAGATTCTTTGCTGCTTTCTGGCTGTCTTTCCTGTGTACTTGTTCTCTACAGGGTTTTCTCCTCTCTCATCTAGCTGGGGTGTGTTTGTTGGTTTTGGTTTTTTTTTTTTTTTTTTTTTTTTTTTTTTTTTTTTTTTTTTTTTTTTTTTTTTTTTTTTTTTTTTTTTTTTTTTTTTTTCCCCAGGAGTGATAGTCTAGGCCAGGAGTGATAGTCTAGGAGACAAATTGTCACAGTTCACTTGTGGTTCTCTGCTCAACTTTACCTAATGTGCTTCTACATCACCAGACAAGTAGCTGTAAACATACTGGAGTATTACTAGTTCAGGAGGATACTTGCATCTCCTTTTCCTTGCCTTAGGAAAGGCAAGGCGAGGAGTGAGCGAGCGGCTGTGTGGTACTCAGTTGCCAACTGAGGTTAAACCACACCACCTTACTGTTCTATTTTGCATTGCAGCCTGCAACTGGAGAAAGGTATTAAAGGATCAGGGTTTTTTAACCATAACGTTGAGACTTGTCATATTTTCTCAACAGACTTTTGTTGTTCTTGTGTGTTTTATCACTGGTATAATAAGCCTGAGTCTGCGTCGTGAATATAGCACACATTGTTCTCTGTTGGCCAGTTGTGTGTGTGACTAACAGTATGTCGTCGGAGGGTGCTGAGCAAATGTTTTTCATTTCTGTGGCTACAAGACAAATGTGTTGTCTCTACCAAGATATACCATATCACAGAGTAACTTCCCTCTAACTGTTTGGGCATGTTATGAGTATTTCTCATCTGTTCACAATGAGAAGGTTCTACTGATGATAGATATAACACAAAAATGCTTTCATGGCCATTTTTCTCTTTAGGTATCAGATGAAGATGAGATCCTGCCTCATAAACTCCAGGCTGCGCTTGTACAAATCTTGGAAGAACGAAGTGAAATCTTGTCACATGAGCAGAGTGACACACAAGGTACTTCTATGGAAAAGTGTTTTCACATTAGCAAATCTCTACAGCTTCCATGTAGTTGATATAAAAATGAGCAAATGGAAATAAACATTAGGAAGCGACATTTTAGAAAGCTGTTTTCCTGTGATCTTACTGAGAACATCTTTCTTGTGAATGTGTTAGAAAGAAGTTTGGTGTCCTAACAATTGTTCCTCTTTTCACAATCAGTATGTGTAGAGCTCTAGTTTTCCTTGGGCCAAGCGCATCAGTTCCCATGCTTGAGTTTTCTTTGATTTTTCTTAAGTGGCAGAGAGAACATTTTTCTTAAATAGAGAACATAGCAAGTTTCTGTACTTTAGCGGGTAATCTGACAGATCATTTTCAAAGTTGAACTGCTTTATACATGAAATGTCAGATAAATAAGTGTGAGAATTTTAAAAAGCGTTGAGTAGCTTGAGAGAATGGCATCGGCAAATTATGTAATTCCATGCACATCGGAAGTAACAAAGTTAGTTTTCCAGTGGGTTTGTGTTCTGTAATTTGCCTAATGCTTTAAGAGAATTAAACTTAGACTGCTATGAGCTTACAGCTTATTAGACACTAGATGTTTGACAGGGGAAAAGAAATTATGAATGCTTTATCTACTGGAAAAATTTTAGAATGGAACCTGTCTCAGCTGCAGCAGAAAGTTGACATGGGAGAGAAATCTTAATATTTGAGCTGTGGCTTCTTTGATATCAGTCAGTCATCTGAAATTTCATCGTCTGAGACAGACAGTCTAAAAAGTAAATGCTGCTCCTCTTTTATAAGAGGAATGACCAAAGTGATGAATGTAGAGGGAAATTTCTCCTCTGTTGTCCTCTTCACAGGTGACATGCCTCTTAACTCCCTGGTCTCTGAAGCTTTTGTGCAGTTCTTTGTGGAGATCGTTGGACACTACTCCCTGCACATGAATGTCACAGAAAAAGGGGAGCGGGTGTTTCAGCGGGAACTGTTCCGTAAATCTCATGTGTCACGCAATGTGCGTCATTTCTTGCACTTCTTCATGGAAACGCAGATGTTTGCGGGTTTCATACAGGATCGAGAGCTAAGTAAGAACGTGGTCAAAGGTGAGGTTTGATCTTACTTTCTTGTTTTACAAACTCACTTTCAAAGTATAATGTCGTGTGACTTCGACTCTTAAGCCTTTTGTCCTGGCAAGTTATCCTGTTGGCATTTTGGCGTATGTAATAGCTCCATGCCCTTCTAATTACTCAACAGAATTCATCTTATGAGGCAAAGAATTTTTCCATCTCTGTCCTTTCTGGGCTTGATCCTACAGCTTACATTATGTGCACCATTTCGTAACCTCCTTGTTAATGATATGATGCCACATGCTAAAAGGTAGAATAGCTCATATAGGTGAGTGGTTTGGTGTTTTTTTTTTTTTTTCCCTCTTTAGGCCTTTTTGAGGTCCGTGCCTTGGAGTATTTGGAGAGTATTCCAGAGACGGAACCAACTGGAATGAACAAAATCCTTCGCAGTCTTGGTAAAGGGACACCCTTGCTTTTTGTTGATTTTTTTTTTTTTTTTTTTTAATAAATTTAGCTATTGAACAAATAATTGCACGTAAAGGAGAGCAGGGCCCATTCTATGTCTTGTGTGCTTGTGTTCCTTTTGTTTACATTTGCCCCTCGGGGAACGCCGAACACTTTGTAAGATTTTTCTTTTATTTTTAAGCTTTCGCATCTTTAGATAAAGTTTGTGGAAGTTGCCTAATCCTAGAGCTGTCTAAACTTGTTTCTTAACTTTGGTCTTGGCTGAGAACACGTTAAGGGGGCAGAAGTCGTGTCTGCCAGCAGAGGTGGCCACCCGTGAATTTCCGCCTTAAGAAGTTACTCAGCCAGATGACTCTTGGAGTGTCTTCGGCTCCTAATGTTGTTTTTTCTCCGTAGGAAGTAAAATGAAATTTCTTCAGAAGAAATGAACGTGCACTGCAGCGGGCCAGCGAAGCAGCGGCAGGCCGGGGAGTGCCG